TAATGCCGAACACAGCAGAGAGGAATAACGCACATAAGGTGCGAATAACTGTAGACGTCAATAACTTTGCCTTTAGCGAAATCTACTACCGCAACAAGTATCGCTCCTAGTTATGCGGATATTGATGCTTCGCAATCAAGTGGTGGTGGATAGTGTGAAATATGCCTTAAATAAACATGGCCATCCGTGAAGTGGATACTACATAATCTCTCGGTATATGTCGATTGAACAGTGTTTTCCAAGGTTGCTAAGACAGTCATTTACATTTGATTAGAAAGTTGACAACTCCGCTCACCACATTCTTCCGAAAGTGAATCCGCTCTCGATAGATCACTCAGGTCTGAAAGAATCTTCTCCAAACGAATAGCTTTTTCTTCAAATTTGCCACCTTCGAACTTCCGGAATATTGTCATGGCTGTATCCATTGACTGAATAATTTTCATTCAGTCAGATATTGAAACTGTAGGAGTGGGTTTATCAGATATGCTGAGTGAAGGGTCGATTATCAAAAGAACGAAAGATGTTGTAGAATGACTCAGACGCTCACCTCTTTCGAGTAGAATTCTGCAAAAAGTTCCTTGAAAGGCGATGTTGTCAGTTGATCTCTCTCTTCCGATGTAAGATTTAGTGACATAGCTTCAATAACGGCTTTATTGCGAAGGATCTTAATTTTACGAAGAAAATTTTGCGGAAAAGAGGGCATAATTGCGATTGATGATTCATTGCTCAAGAACTATGAAGAGTAAGCGGACATTTTTTTTGAGAAGTCCAGCGTAATATTTTGCCATGCTTCTACGAGTTGTGATTAAAAAGACCTTCTTGGTTCAGCTTTAACCTTTATGGTTTATTCTTTGAACCTAGGAGTTCTAACCCAATAAACTTTGATAAAGCCCATACCTGTTTTACATGAGCCGGCGTAAGTGTTTCATAGATATGGACCGGTGTTATGTTTTCCATATATTCCATAATAATATATCCCTTTAGCGGATTAGATTCACTGAACTTTTTCATGTAATAAATCTGAAAAAAGGGCGAAAAAGGGCAAGCCAGCTTTACAAAATGGATAAGTATGGGCACTGAAGTGACCCACAAGGTTGGCGATTCATTGACAAAACTTCAATCTCGGTCGGGAGTCGAACACGTACTTGTCCTCTCCTCGGAG